CACGTGTGAGGCCGATGTTGCGCCGTCAGGCGGCCGTACCTTGCCAATGAAGCCCGTGCCTCCCGTGAGGAAGAGTCCCTTGCCAGCGTAGAAGTCCTCCATGCTTCCAGTCGCTACAATGCAAAATGCAAACCCAGTGCATGTCCCGATTACGAACGGTCGATGCATCATAATCGGTGACTTGATTTCGGACAAGTCCGAAATGTACCTTGTTTATCCGGATTTGTCTGATTGGTATCTTGAACGAAAGATTTTTGGGATCTCGACGATGGACGAGGAGCTGCTCATGGGCTACGGCCATGGACCAGAGCCACTCGTAGGAGCCGACGGCGACGCGGAAGGGAGCCTACTCGCCTTCTACCGCTCGCGCTGCGACGCCTTCCAGGCTGAGCGCAAGGAGATGATGGATCGCTTCCGAGATCTCGAAACGTCCCGCGAAGCTCGGCATGCGGTGGATTGGCAAAACAAGATGCACAAGCAAGAGGTTCCGCTTGGCAACAACGTAGCCGCTTGACCTTGCTGCCATAGATATCGGAGCTCAAGGGGGAGCTCACGCGCGTACGAGACGAGGTTCAAGGCGCGCGGGAGGTAATTGCGACGCTCGAGAGCGACAAAGCAGCGCTCAAGATTCAAGAAGCCGAAGACCGGAAGCGCATTCAGCATCTACTTAGCCTTACGCAACCCATCGCTGAAGAAGTGACCTTTTATAAAGACTGCCGCCCGGGCCATGCGACGCGGTACCCTGTGCTGGACGAGCTCCCAGTGGACGCCTTCTCGCCCCTCTCGATGCGGTCCAACGTCAGCCTCGCCGCAGAAGCTGCGGGGTATCGCGGAACCCGAAGTATGTCCACCAAGTGCTATCAACTCACGCATCGCACCAAGCAAACGCACGCGCCCTCAACCCAACCCAAGGTAAGGTCGCATACCGGACGGACAACGCTTATCGCAGCACTCTAGAGTCGCGTGATCCGAACCGTCTATTTGCCAAGCGAACAAGCAGATACACTTTTGCAGCGCGTGCAGCTCCTGACAAAGGAGCTAGATGACCACAAGGCGCTATCGAGCCAGCGCATACAGGTGCGGTACAACCGTGCGAATTTCATTAATGCAGTTGATGTAGGCTCTGCTCAACGACCTTGCGCTCGTCAACGCAGAGCTAAAAAAAGAGCGCGACGAGCACACCAAACAGCTCGAGTCAAATGGTGCCGAGCTCGAAAAGACGAAGAGGCTTTTGACCAAGGCAACCAAAGGTACATAAGCCCGGTGCCGCGAGGCAGCTGACGTTGCACTAGACTACTTGGTTGCTCGACATAATGCTCAAGACGCCGCGCGTCAAGCACAAGAAGAAATTGTGCATCTGTACCAAGTGCAGACGCGCATCGAGAAGGAAAAGGATCTCGTACGCACGCAAGCCCAGCAAGAGACTCAGGTGCGCAATGCATGGCCAAAACCGATGCTACAAACCTGTTTGAACAGGCCATTCGCATGTCCGTGCGGGAAGAAGGCAACCAAAATGCCGAGGAGTTCCGGAAACAAGCCATGGCCCGCGAGCGTGACATCCATATCCTCAAAGTATGCAGCAGCATTACCCGTGTTTTCCTAAAACATCAAACGGGTGTACTAGGAGCAATACGCAGCCGTTCAAGAGACGTATGGCGCGCGGATCCATAGCCTTCAATCGCGATTAACGACGCTTCGGGGCCGCTACAAGGGGCTCGAGAACAGGCGCAATATGGAGATGGAAGGCTTCTCCCGCGATGTCGCGACGCTCAAACGACACATTGTGAAACTCGAAAGTCTTTGCTTTGGGGCCAAGCTCACGCAAGACGAGTTGCGTGGACTACGCGTTGGTATGTCTAGCTCCTATCATCCTAAGCGCATTTCCACAGTAGATGAGAGCAACGTTTTTTCGTCCAACCAACTCAACTCGGAGCTTGCACACCTTCAGGTACAGCTCGACTTTTGAATTCGAAAGTCTAAGAAAATGAATAGAAACGCTACGCCGACTTGGCAACCGAGCTGTCCCATCACTACAACCGTTGAGTGCGTCCAAAACCAAAGGCTCGTGTGCTCGTGTGAGTGCATGATGTTGGTCATTGGTGTTGGCGACATAAAATCAGGCAGCCAATACTACTATACAACATGCCACTCTGTAATTCGCATGCACAGTCCGACGAACGAGCCATTCTTCGACAGGCAATTTGTTGCTAGTTAGCTCATCAATATTGACTCTTGAGTTGATGCACGTGGCCGCGCGTCCTCTTTCCCATGTGGCAATATCATTAATAACGTTAATAACAGAAGCGGCAGATGCGTTACGCATCCGGCTGCATGCGTCATCCTTTCGTAATCGAAGGCGCGACGTCATCGTTTCGAGTTTGCATTTTGCATTGTAGCGACTGGAAGCATGGAGGACTTCTACGCTGGCAAGGGACTCTTCCTCACGGGAGGCACGGGCTTCATTGGCAAGGTACGGCCGCCTGACGGCGCAACATCGGCCTCACACGTG